CCAGAGGAGAGAGAGGCCAGAGGGAGAGGAGGGAAAAGGAAAAATGAAGAGGGTGTGACTAGTAAGAAAAAAAGAAGAAAAATCAGTGAAATGATAAAGTTATCACAATTGGACGTAATAATGACCATTGTTACTTATTTTAATTTGTACTTTTAATAGCCTGAGAGCGTGAATGATCTTCATACTACTAACAGACAATTAAACGAATTATCTACTAAATTACAATCTCAACTAAAGACACTGAATGAGAAACCACTCTCGTTAAAGAGTAATTATAACCACACCCACAACACTCATTATAATTTTTTATTGTAGAAAAACATTTTGTTTCTTACAAAATTGAGAAAGAGGAGGAGAAGAGAGAGGGAGAAGAAAGAGTATCACTTGAATTAGGTCCTTACTTAAGTAATGGTAGGTTACCATAAGTAATCCATTATATTGATAATAATAATTATTATTATTATTTATCATTATTAGTATGTCCAATGTTAATTAGCTGGTGTAAAGAAGGTATGGTGAGTAACGGTTCACCATATGTTATTGTACTGACTAGCTCAGCAGAGAGAGCATCTCATTTAAAAAGGTAACAACTCGTTATCCTAGTTTAGATTCATTTGGTCCATTTCTCTCTCTCTCTCTCAGACAACTATTATCATCACATAAAAACATCAGTGTCATCAAACTGTGTGCTAAACACTCAAAAGTGAATTAGCTTGCATTATTGTATTTATTATTATTATTATTATTATTATTATTATTATTATTAACATCAGATTGAAGATCAGGCTGCATATTTATCCAGTCATGTGACACACATTGCCATAGGTACACCAAACAGGTTTCATAGACTTGTCATGGACGATAAACTAAGTATGGACAACGCTAGGCTCTTGATTGTGGACTGGTTCTGGAGGGATAAGAAACTAAAGCAGTTTTATGATATCCCAGAGGTAAGAACTTATTAATTTATGTCCCTTTATATGTAAAACATGTTATATTGGTAATAGGGTTTCCTACAAAGCAAGCATGCTTACAGTACATGGCATTTGGATTTTGGAACAACTTTAAAATTCATAAAAAATCTAATTTTCATCAGAATCAGCTCAAACTTGATAAACAACATAAGAACATGTATATGTATCATAAAAAATTATAAAAATGAAGAATCCTCTCCTAGTCATTTTTGATGAAATTTGGCCAACGACCCAAATAATATCATCAACAGCTTCTAGTGGAATAAATGACTGAATGTAATCTTTAAACTCGGTAGCCTAAAAATAAATAGAATCATACAATGTAATTTGTACAAAGAGTATAATAGACCATGTATGATGGCCTTATAAAAGGGTACATAATAATAGGCCAGAACCTCAGAGGCAGGACATGTACTTACAAGTGAATCACTGACTAATGATGACAAGTGTTTAAGGTGAGTTTTCACAACAGTTTGATAGTAGGAGGAATCAGCTTCAGACCATATTGGATCCTTCAAGTGAGAGGAAACCTCTTTCAATAGTGACTGTTGAGAAACAAAGAGATTAAAAGAATCCAAACACAATGCAAATATTTAGAACATAAACAACTAATCCATTTAATTTTGCTTAAAACTTACTAAAGTACTTGCTATTACCAACTAACTGGTCCTAGTTGATACATCAGAATAAGAGGGTGTTTTTCAGAGTCAATTTTAGAAATACTGATCAAGTGCTTACTTGAAGTGGCTGTGAAAGATTATGACAGTGTGAACTCAAAATGTCGCATAAAACTGAGCACAGTGAGTCAATGACTGGTTCTTTCCTTGGTACAGTGGGTGTGGTTGAGGGTGGAGTGAACAGAGGATTAAGATCAAATGATGACTGAAGATAAGCTACTTCATGAGGATACCAAGAGGACTCAAATGATTCCAATGACTGCCTAAACTCATCACTAACCCACTGAGTACATCTACAACATAATAAATATAGCAATTATTTTTATGAAAAATTGGTCTTAAAAGCAAATAATATTAAATCAATAAACAGCAACAAATGAGACTGATAAATTGACAAAACAATCACAATATTTTTTAATACTAGCTAGACACAGTTCAAAACAGATCAACAACACAGTTCAAAACAGATCAACAACAGATTCGCGACTATCATGTCTGAAAATATCTGTGGAGCTTGGTATAATTTCGTTCTTTTGCTCATCAACAGTTTTGTGCGACTCAGTTAAGTCTAAAAGAGGCTCGTCATCTTCGTATCTATGCACTTGTAGTCGACTGAATGATTTCTTCCTTAGAGTATCGTACCATTTTGTTTGTGATAGCTGCAAGTAGAGGTGATACAAAGCAATTAGCATGAAACTAAAGGAAAAGAGAGATAAGCAAATGTTGAACCAGATCCTTACTGCACTGTCATCAGTATAAACTACAGATAGACCAACCATGACACACAAATTGAACAGGAACCAAGCTTCAATCATATCGTGCATCCTTTTCCTATAGACACCTCTTAAACAAAACCCCAGCGAAAACACAATAGCAAGTACTGTTAGGAGCATTGACAATAGGAAGTCGTGTGACTGAATC